TAAACTGTGGTCAATGACATGAGACAAAGTATATGTGAACTGCTGTATAGAAAGTGAATTTGCTCTGTAAATCTTCACCCAAATCACAATTAAAAAAAAGAAAAAATTTGATTGCTAATCAGAAGGTTGGCGGTCCAATCCCACCAGTTGCTCCACAGAAGGAACACAAGGCAATCTACTTCTTCAAAGATTTATAGTCTTGTAAACCCAATGGGGTTCAATGGTGGTGGTTTTGGAATTTTGATCCTCTATGGTCCTATGAAGATGATCACCTGATATGTGATTGTCAACATCCTTGAACACAGAGACAGCCCATCCTATAATCATCTATACCCCTGACCATGGAGATGACAGACTGGGGACAGTGCTCACCAGCCCTCTGGTTAAATAACTTACTCAACTTAAAAAAAAGAATTGTCTATCTGTATGAAATGATTAAGAACTAACCCCTACAATACAGATAGACAATCCTTTTTTTTTTATGTTTTTAAGTTGAGTGTTTGGCTACCCTTGCTATGTGGTAGAGACCTGCCTTCCCTCAACTGTGGAGATCCAGTTTCTTTTGGCTTCAAGTTCAAGAAAAGCCATCACAACTGCCCAAAATACACAAAACAAACCAAAATAGAGTATGTGACCAAACAGAAAACTGTTCATTGTGCTTATAACCAAAGAAACTGGATCTCTACAGCTGCTGTCTTGAGTTCACACAGCTGCCATCAGGTGCAGGGTAGTCCTCCCCTTGGTCCCTGAGGGCAGGCAGGTCTCTACCACATAGCAAGGGTAGCCAAACACTGGCTGCCCCTCTTGGACATTTGTCCTAGGAAACAATCTGGGATGGGGGAGAGGGATCCAATGTGCAAAGAAAGTAAATTAAGTACATCTCCCCAGTGAAGGATTAAGAATTCAAAGCAATGCCACAGATGACATAACCCCAAAGAAAATCCCCAATAGAAAATCACACCTAGGAAATAATTACAACTTACAGCTTTAAGAGCTGTTTACAAAATGTAGATGGGAACCTAGAAAAACTGTAGTAAAAACCTGCAAGCTGCTTAATTATCCAACCAGAAAATAGTGAAGAGAATTATGTACATCAATAGAGTATCAGCCAGCCACCAAGAATGAATGCTAAAGCCTTAAGACAAAAAGGAAGGATGGGTCCTTCTGAGGATAAAAGATTAGATTGCACACCAGGATGGTAGCAATGTAGAAGATACAGTGCAGAGGGTTTAAAAATGCTAACAGAGACTAAATTTGTGGTTTAAAATCAAGAAGGGCATGAGTCAGGATTGTATCCTTTCACCATACTTATTCAATCTGTATGCTGAGCAAATAATTCAAGAAGCTGGGCTATATGAAGAACGCAGCATCAGGATTGGAGGAAGACTCATTAACAACCTACAATATGCAAAAGACACAACCTTGCTTGCTGAAAGTGAAGATGATTTGAAGCACTTACTGTTGAAGACCAAAGACAATAGTCTTCAGTATGGTTTACACCTCAACATAAAGAAAACAAAAATTCTCACCACTGGACCAATAAGCAACATCATGATAAATGGAGAAAAGAATGAAGCTGTCAAAGATTTCATTTTACTTGGATCCACTATCAACACACATGGAAGCAGCAGTCATGAAATCAGACGTACTGCATTGGGCAAATCTGCTGCAAAAGACCTCTTTTGTGTCGACTAGCAAAGATATCACTTTGAAGAGTAAGGTGCACCTAACAAACCATGGTATTTTCAATGGCCTCATATGCATGTGAAAGCTGGACAATGAATAAGGAAGACTGAAGAAGAATTGATGCCTTTGAATTATGGTGTTGGTGAAGAATACTGAAAGTACCACAGACTACCAAAAAAATTAACAAATCCATCCTGGAAGAAGTGCAGCCAGAATACTCCTTAGAGGCAAGAAAGGCCAGACTTCATCTCACCTACTTTAGTCATGTTGTCAGAAGGGACCAGTCCCTGGAGAAGGATATCATAGTTGGTAAAGTGGAGGGTTAGAGAAAAAGGGGAAGACTCTCAGTGAGATGGACTGACACAGTGGCTGCCAAGCAGAGCAAGGATTTTGAGGATGGGTGCAGCATTGGGCAGCGTTTCATTCTGTTGTATATAGGGTCACTATGAGTCAGAATCGACTCAATGGCACCTAACAACAACAACAACAACAGAGACCACTAAACCCTAGAGGGATGTGGGGACTAACTGAGAGCACTTATACAGTTACATATTGTTATCACTTTAAATGTTTAAAGACATGCATTTATAATCTGCTTCCCTCCAGAAAGCAGTGGATGGGTGTACCCTTGCTCTAGCTCCCGAGGGCTCCCCTGAAGTGTATGTCTATAGAGTAGGGCTGCACTCCACCTCCAAGGCCCCCAGCTCCAAGAAGGAAAGCTCCAGTTAAGAGTGTTCAGCTGGATCAGAGAAACATATTAAAAGACAATCAGCTAAATACAAAATGTGGGATATGCAACAGGAAAAATGACCTGGTTCTACATTATAAAAAACATCAAGGAAGAAAAAATACCATGTAATCTATTTGTTGTTGTTGTTATTTGCCATAGAGTCGGCCCCCGACTCCTAGCGACCCCTCCTTGGGTTTCCGAGGCAGTTATCACTATGGAAGTAGGATTGCCCAACCTTCCTTCCGAGGAGTGGCTGGTGGGTTTGAACCGCCAGCCTCCTGGTTAGCAGTCAAGTGCCTTAGGCACTATGCTACCAGAGCTCCCATGTAATCTATAGCCCTCACTTATACCCTAATTTTTACAAGAAAACATTGATGATATCAAGAAAATGTAATATCAACTTGTACATTTAGTTGATATTAAGAAACTACTGTCAATTTGTTTAGGTGTAATAATGATATTGTAGTTATATTTATTTTGTCAAAAGCCAGTAAATATATATTCTAAAGGTTTTATGACTCAAATGCTATGAACTCTGGTATATGCTTCAAAAGAATCCAGTATATGTGTATTGGAAATAGGGGATGTGTATATGAGGTGTCTTTATACTACTCTTCTAATTTCAGCATATGCTTAAATTTTCCCACAATAAAAAAGTTAACTTGAACTCTGCTTAGGCACATGCATGTAAGTAATCCCAAAGCTAGTTTAGCATCAGCATTCTCAACCTCCACCCTGTAGACTCCCCTCCACTCTTACCTCTCTTGAAGGTCCTTGTGACCAGGTCCAGATTCTGCACCAAGGCACTGATGTCTATCTTGGTCCTGGCAAAGATGTTAGTGCCCAAGGATGCCCAATCCTAATACACCAACAAAAAGAAAGGAAAAGAGCAGACATCAGAGTGGTTCAGTGGCTTCAGACCCAAATATGAGGCAGTCACACCATGAGGGACCCCTCCGTAAGCACCCTAGGACTTAGGCCCTGCAGATGTGCAGGACTCGACCCTATGGCTTCCCCACAAGGGGGATCTTAGGGATACAATCCTCATTTCCCAAAGTGAAGACCTAGCTCAGTCCCAGAACTCTCGGACATCACTACTTTTTCCTACTCAAACTGTTAGATGGGCTTGGCTCCTGATGTTTGGTGACTGCTTAGACCACAGTCGTGACCAGTACTGATTACAGATACAGGTATAGGTATACCTCAGAGATACTGCAGGTTTGGCGATAAAGTGAGCCGCACAAATTTTTTTGGTTTTCCAGTGCATATAAAAATTATGTTACACTATAAACTCTAAACCAAACTCACTGCCATCGAGGCAATTCAACTCATAGAGACCCCTGCTTGGGTTTCCAAGGCAGTATCTCTATGGAAGTAGATTTTCCAACCTTCCTTCCGAGGAGTGGCTGGTGAGTTTGAACCACCAGCCTTCTGGTTAGCAGTCAAATGCCTTAGGCACTATGCCACCAGAGCTCCTCTGTTACACTATACTGTAGTCTATTAAATATGCAAAAGTATTATGGAAAAAGTTTGAAATACTGTGAAAATTACCAAAATGTGACAGAGATACAAAGTGAGTATGTGCTGTTGAAAAAAAAAAAAAATGGTGCCAAAAGACTTGCTCAACACAGGGCTGTCACCAACCTTCAATTTGGAAAAAAAAACACAACATCTGCAAAGTGCAATTATGTGAAGTGCAACAAAATAAGGTGTGCCTATATAGCTCAACACTTAGAAGCACTTGTGATGGGAACCAAATTTCCTTCCCAAACGTCCTATTTCTTTATTCTTTCTATATCACTCTCCTATTTGACAACAGTCTCTTTAAAGCTCATATTTCAAGTCCCTACATCAACATTTGGTACCATGCTTGGTACAGTGGAGGGTCAAAGAAAAAAGGAAAGACCCTCAATGAGATGGATTGACACAGTGGCTGTAACAATGGGCTCAGGTATAGCAAATATTGTGAGGCTGGCACAGGACCAGGCAGTGTTTTTTTCTGCTGTACACAGGGTCGCTATGAGTCAGAGCCAACTTGATGGCACCTAACAACACCACCACCAAGACTTCAAAATCTCCAAGTCTGATGCACCCCTTAGATCAACCAGCCATGAGACATCACAGGGGCAGTATTCACATAGAGGGAAAGCTGGACAGACAGGACTGCATAGATAAGAAGGGCACAGGGAGGAGGTAGTCACAGGAAGGAGAGGGGAAGAGAGTTGGGGATGGTAATCGGGGCTGTGAAATCAAATGTGTGTGAACTGTTGAATGTAAAACAAATCTGCTTTATAAATTTGCAACCAAAACGCAATTTAAAAAAAAAAATCTCCCAAGTTTACTGTGCCAGTGTACTCAAAGCCCCTCAGCCCCTCACCTCCCCATGCCCCATCCAGCTCATTTAAGGTCTGGGCTCAGACCTTTTGCGTGACTTCCAGTGACCTTGGGAGCAAACACAGCATTAGTCCCAGGGCAGTTACAGGCTGAGAGACAGGACAAGATTGGACAGACAGCAGCCAGCCTGCCAAAATGGTACTAAACTGGAATTTAGCGCCCTGCACCCCACATCTAGAGGCTCCACCTGGTAGGGGTACTGCAGTGTAGTAAATTACTTTGTTTGGTTTTTCTACCCATAAGTCTTTGTAAACTCCAAGGTGGAATTTGCTATGAGCAACTGAGGAGCTCCTGATTGCTGAAGGTGTCCACCTGGAGTATTTCTGTTGGGAGTGGCACAAAACAATGTTCTGGAAGGTGCCCACTCTCTCTCAGGTGCTTAGAGTTCTGATGCCATAATTGGCTAG